TAGATGGGCGCGCGTCGGGCCTTCGGCCCTCGCCCACCCTTTTAGATGGGCGTCACATTGGTCCCCTCTTTTTAGATGGGCGCGCGTCGGGCCTTCGGCCCTCGCCCATCCTTTTAGATGGGCGTCGCATTGGTCCCCTGCTTTTAGATGGGCGCGCGTCGGGCCTTCGGCCCTCGCCCACACTTTTAGATGGGCGTCGCATTGGTCCCCTCCTTTTAGATGGGCGCGCGTCGGGCCTTCGGCCCTCGCCCACCCTTTTAGATGGGCGTCGCATTGGTCCCCTCCTTTTAGATGGGCGCGCGTCGGGCCTTCGGCCCTCGCCCACCCTTTTAGATGGGCGTCACATTGGTCCCCTCTTTTTAGATGGGCGCGCGTCGGGCCTTCGGCCCTCGCCCACACTTTTAGATGGGCGTCGCATTGGTCCCCTCCTTTTAGATGGGCGCGCGTCGGGCCTTCGGCCCTCGCCCACACTTTTAGATGGGCGTCGCATTGGTCCCCTCCTTTTAGATGGGTCGGGCCTTCGGCCCTCGCCCATCATTTTAGATGGGTGTCGCATTGGTCCCTCCTTTTTAGATGGGCGCGCGTCGGGCCTTCGGCCCTCGCCCACACTTTTAGATGGGCGTCGCATTGGTCCCTTCATTTTAGATGGGCGCGCGTCGGGCCTTCGGCCCTCGCCCCCCCCCCCCCCTTCCCCACCGTTGGACCCATTTTTCCAATTTGGGTCACTTCGGACCTTCGGCCCTCGTCCCTCTCTCCTTCCCACCGTTGGGACCCATTTTTACATGTTGGCGCACTATGGGCCTTCGGCCCTCTTCCCCCCACCCCTTCCCCACCGTTGGGCCCATTTTTACAAGTTGGCGCACTTCGGGCCTTCGGCCCTCGCCCATCCTTTTAGATGGGCGTCGCATTGGTCACCTGCTTTTAGATCGGGCCTTCGGCCCTCGCCCACACTTTTAGATGGGCGTCGCATTGGTCCCCTCCTTTTAGATGGGCGCGCGTCGGGCCTTCGGCCCTCGCCCACCCTTTTAGATGGGCGTCGCATTGGTCCCCTCCTTTTAGATGGGCGCGCGTCGGGCCTTCGGCCCTCGCCCACCCTTTTAGATGGGCGTCACATTGGTCCCCTCTTTTTAGATGGGCGCGCGTCGGGCCTTCGGCCCTCGCCCATCCTTTTAGATGGGCGTCGCATTGGTCCCCTCCTTTTAGATGGGCGCGCGTCGGGCCTTCGGCCCTCGCCCACACTTTTAGATGGGCGTCGCATTGGTCCCCTCCTTTTAGATGGGTCGGGCCTTCGGCCCTCGCCCATCATTTTAGATGGGTGTCGCATTGGTCCCTCCTTTTTAGATGGGCGCGCGTCGGGCCTTCGGCCCTCGCCCACACTTTTAGATGGGCGTCGCATTGGTCCCTTCATTTTAGATGGGCGCGCGTCGGGCCTTCGGCCCTCGCCCACACTTTTAGAAGGCGTCGCATTGGTCCCTCATTTTAGATGGGCGCGCGTCGGGCCTTCGGCCCTCGCCCCCCCCCCCTTCCCCACCGTTGGACCCATTTTTCCAATTTGGGTCACTTCGGACCTTCGGCCCTCGTCCCTCCCTCCTTCCCACCGTTGGGACCCATTTTTACATGTTGGCGCACTATGGGCCTTCGGCCCTCTTCCCCCCACCCCTTCCCCACCGTTGGGCCCATTTTTACAAGTTGGCGCACTTCGGGCCTTCGGCCCTCGCCCCCCCCCCCCCTCCCTCCCCGCCGTTGGGACCCATTTTAGGTATCTTCGGTCTCTCCACCTCCCCATCGTTGGGACCTATTTTAGGTCACTTCGGGCCTTTGGCCCTCGTCTCCCTCCCTCCCCACCGTTGGGACCCATTTTGGGCCACTTCGGTCTCTCCCCATCCCCATCGTTGGGACCCATTTTGGGTCACTTCGTTCTCTCACCCGCCACATCATTGGGACCCATTTTGGGTCACTTCGGAACTTCGGCCCTCGTCCCCCACCCTCCCCACCGTTGGGACCCATTTTGGTCACTTCGGGCCTTCGGCCTTCGTTTCCCCCCTCCCCACCGTTGGGCACCATTTTTGGTCCCAACGTTTTGGTTACCCCACTGGGTATAGTACCACCCACACCCGAAATTTCGACCTTTTGTAACTTTGTACAAAATGGTCAGAAAATTTCGGAAAAAATATTTTTAAGCTCAACTCGATGAGAGCTTTCGATTGATATAACATTTGGCCCATCTGTGGCCATTTTGCAAAAATTATTTTTTGGCCGAAAATTTTGGCCGTAAAAATCGCCGAAATTTTCAAAAAATCAGAACTTTCTCAAAGTTAATCTTTTTTAATAATTTTAAAAGCTCATTCTATGCAGAAAAATCTGCTCTATCAAAAAAAATACCTATGCCCCTTACCGCCGGCAAAAATCTCGAAATTTTTTCGAAAAACCGAAAAATTTTGGGTTTTTCGAAATTCGACCCCTACACCTCCAATTTCGAATTTTTTCGAAATTTTCTTCGGTGAAAAAATACCTAATTTTTTACTTGATTTTTAAAAGGAAACCCCATCCTAATCCGATAATCCCAAAAAAAGTTAAGGTCCCCTAAAAAATCCCGAAAATTCCCCAAAATTTTCGGATTTTTGGGGAATTTTTTTTTTTCCCCTTTTTTTTTTTCTTTTTTTTTTTTTTTTTTCCACATTTTTCCCCCACCCTATTCCCTTTGGAAATAGGGTGGGGGACAAATTTTTGGAATTTTGGGTCAAAAATAGGCCTATATGGTACTCTGACATGCGCTGAGTATGAATCCGGCCTCGAAAAAATTTTAAAAAATTTCCCCGGGACGTTAGAGTCTCATAAAGTTTTGCGACATTTGGCCACATTCGCTATAACTTTTTAAGACTCAAGTGGACCCCCAACATATTATACCTTTTTCGGTGCCCCACGGGACGCTCTTTCGAACTGGCTATCGAAAACGCGTTTGAATTCACGTTACAAAAGGTAGGTTTTTCAACCCCGACTCTTTGACCCATATGACCCCCCAAAACTTCATCTGAGACTCAAGTGGTCAACACCCGATAACTTCCCAACACTCTACCCTCCAACATCACTCCCAGGCCCAAGAACCCCCCACTTCTCAAAAACCCGTTATAAGCCTTTGAAATTTTTATCCGGCCATTTCAGTGCCACACTCGAGTGCGGCACAAAAATGGCCATGCCCATTAAATTTCTCATGGCCGTTTACCTAATACTCCCAGGTCCCATCCAAATCTGCGGCGTGGTTTCAGAGATATAGAAATTGTACAAAAGACCGCTACCCAATGGCGCGACATTTGACCACCATTTAAAAAGGGTTACAACGGCATATCGTATCTTAGAGTTCGAATTTTTTCGAAATTTTTTTTTTATTTGACATCTACAAAATGCGGGGCATCCGCCTCTAAGCAAAAGTTTTTGGCTTTCTCTTTCGGTTCACGAGATAGCCAGGTCCCAGGGGTTGTTTCGGCGCGAAGGCGCCGGCGCAGGGAAAAATCACTAATTATTTCGGATGCGCCTGATAAAGTACCTGAGGCAATGTGAAACTTTCAGGGACCTTGAAGCAAAACTGTGACCCCTAGAGTTTTTTTAACGAAACTCAAAACTTCTTTATATATATATATAATTTTAAAATTCGATTTAAATGGGTATTGAAAAACGTGAGAATAATGTTCGAGATTTGATTGCTTTTTGGTTTGTCATTTTATTTGGGTACACCCCATTATACCGCACCCCACCATTATACCGCAGCCCAATATACCGCCGCCCAGTATACCGCCGCCCATTATACCGCCGCAAAAATTTTTTATTATCTTGGTGGGGGATGTAAAATAGTGACGGGGGATGTTGGTTCGTCAACGGGGGATGTTGACCTAATGCGGGAGATGTTAAATATTGACGGGGGATGTTGTTCCAATGACGGGGGATGTTGACCCAATGACGGGGGATGTTAACAAGCGACGGGGGATGTTGGTCCGTAAACGGGGGTCATTGAAACAACATTCCCCGTCACTATTTAACATCTCCCGCCAAGATAATAAAAAATTTTTGTGGCGGTATAATGGGCGGCGGTATACTGGGCGGCGGTATAATGGGCCCGCGGTATACTGGGCGGCGGTATATTGGACTGCGGTATAGTGGGCGGCGGTATAATGGGCGCGGTATACTGGGCGGCGATATATTGGACTGCGGTATAGTGGCCTGCTCCCTTTTATTTTTAATTGGAAAGAATAAATTCTCTCATTTAAAGGATTTTTGGTTTGGCAAATAATTTTGCCTATGTAATTATGCTTAGTGCTGCTGATGATATTATTAAAAGTCAGCACAAACATAATCCTCAACATAATAATAAAACAAATATTTCAAATCAATGCATTGTAAAATTGAAAAATTATTTAAAAATTCGAGAAATTTAAGGAAAATATAGGGAATCCAAGGTGTGAAAAATACATGTCTACTGGTGCTGTCCTTTTAGCAGATATTTTGCCTGCAATGGTTATTAAATATACAATGCCTTTCTTTATGAATCGTATACCTTTTGGGTATTTTTTAAATTTTACTATGAATAGTCAAACGTTGTCTCCTTCGAAATAAAAAGCCTGGATACTAGATAATTTTTGGTCTGGATATCATGGTGTGAAAGTATCTAGACAGTTTCTAAAGCGGTCCAAGAAATCACCATCTTATTTTAACTTTACTACATACTCTAACGTTGCTAGATAAAAATCTTAAATAATTTTTACACTCCCTATTTTCTGTTTAAGTTATTATTGTAATCCTTCAGTTAATTTATGCTACTGTTTGAAATTAACAATAAGATCGGTCAGGGAGCGTCGTACAAAAATTGGCATTCATATCTTGATCCAATCTCTAGTTTTAATTATTTTATTTATTTTTAAATTAAAAGTTTTCGACATTTATTGGTTTGTTTACTTCAAGCTTCAAGTTATTTAGTTGTTGCCTTTTCCCCAAACATTCAAATATCCTTGTTTGGCGTTGTTTTGGCAGCATTGGGATCTGGATTGGGAGAAATATGTTATTTGGCATTAAGCTCCCATTATTCCAAGTTTTTAGATCTTTTACTCCTCTTAATTTGAATCTTAGATCAACAATAGCTTCTTGGTCCTCCGGCACGGGAGGTGCTGGAATAGCCGGAGCTTCAGCATATGCAATTCTAACTGAACCAAAATTTTTTGATATGTCCCCAAGAAATGCTTTATTAGTTATGCTTATCGTTCCAATAATCTTTGCAATAACGTAAAAATAAAATTTTTTGAGAAAATAATTAAATAATTAATTAGTTATTGGTCATTATTAACACCTGTATTGACCGTTCACAGAATTAATTTTTTCAAAATTTCAACGTGGATTGTTCCTGTCCAAAATATTAAAGAAAAAGAAAATCTAAAAATTGAAGAAGAAGAATATGATGGTAAAGCTTATACACACAATTTTACTTTTAAAGATAAATTAAAAATAATTTATGTAAGATTTAATATTTTACTTATGTAGAATAAATTAATTTTTAATTTTAGCCATTGTTGAAATATATGGTTCCACTCAGTTTTGTATATTTTGCTGAATATTTAATTAACTCGGGATTGGTAAATATGTATTAAATATTTAATTTATTAAAAAAAACAAAAATCGGTATGGCTTATCTGCACCCACAGTTTCCTTTACGATCTTTTAAAAATAAGTAACCAAATCCCAAAATTTCTATAGTTTTCGTAACTACCGTATTTGCTAAAATAATTACCCAGGGTAATTATTGTTTCCACCTCTCGCTGGAGGGTGTAATTAAAAGGAGGGGGTAATTATTCGAGCTTTTTTCAAAAAGGCTAATTATAACTATGTTTAAGGGGGGGGGGGGTAAATATTTTTTCGATTTCTTGCTTTAGGGGGTGATTAATAGGGCGGAGGTAATTATTTGAGAAATTTTTCTATAATTAAAAATAAATTTAACTAGCATCAATTAATGCATTTTGACTGTTCACACGGTTTTGGTTTATCATTAGAAAGCCAATTTCGTTGGTATATGGCATTATATCAATCGGGCGTCTTCTTTTCTAGAACTTCTGTTGCTTTTTTAAAATTATCTTCATCTGCATTATATTTTCTTCCTTTTTTACAGGCTTGTAGAAAAAATTATAAAATAAAAAAAATATTTTTTAGTGTTTAAATTTAGCAATATTTTTAATTCAGTCAATTAACCAATTTATTCCTCATATTGGAATAATTTTTATTTTAACATTTATTGAAGGAATTTTTGGGGGTGCTTCATATGCTAATACTTTTGATAGAATACACAAAGAAGTGAAAAAGTTTTTAAAAAATTATTTAATTGTTTTTAAGGCTTCCTCTCAAACTCGAGAATTTAGTCTTTCTATAGCTTCGACTGGAGATGCTATTGGAATTAGTTTAGCTGGTTTCGGTTCAATTATAGTTCACAATTATATTTGTAAATTATATCCAATTATTTATCCTTAATTAATTTTTAATTGTTGTATTTTTGTATTCAGATAAAAATTGAAGAATGAAGATGAATTTAATAAAGTTTTTAATCTTTAGGATCATAGTAGGCTCTTAGACTTTTTATGTCTATTAACATTTTTACGCGTTCTAAGATTACGGGTCAATCATTAAATACTTTGAGTAACTAGTCTTAGACAGTGACCTGGATTCATGAACGAGACCAGTCTCTATTACATCAATAGGATATCAAATATGAAAAATAATCAAAAATAAAGTGACGCAAACTTTGCGGACCCGAAATTTCCGTAACGAAAGTTGCGGACACGATGCTTGCGCACCTGATTATTGCGGACTCAAAATTTTGAGGAATTCAAAATTTTTATTTTAACATTTATTGAAGGAATTTTTGGGGGTGCTTCATATGCGCGCCAAAAATATGGTAAACCCCCGAAATTTCCGTAACGAAAGTTGCGGACACGATGCTTGCGCACCTGATTATTGCGGACTCAAAATTTGAGGACCGACACTTGAGTAGAAAAGGAAAAATTGAAAATTTTTTTTTGACGATTCCGACAGAGTTTATATGTATGATCTCGTACCAGATTAGGATTTTTTCCGGATTTTTCAAAAAAAATTTTTTTATAGATTTTTTGTTTTAAAATTAAAAAATTTAATTAATCGGAAAAATTCATTAAATTATTTATACGGGCATTTCATAAGGTCACGATGCCTGAATTTCTCCCAATTAACGCCGCAGACTTAAATTTTTGAAATGTCCGAAGTTCAAAATTCGGGTTCGCAAATTTCGGCGCGCCAAAAATATGGTAAAATAAAAAGAATGTAAAATGAGATTAAATAAGGTAGGAATGTTTATTTTTAAATTTAACAACAAATCATAAAACAAAAATAATTTAAAATTAACCAGAAAAACTTAAAGCCTCAACACTAGCTTCTCAAAGTTTTTTTTAATTCAGTTTTGGTTTCTTAGCAGAACAAGTAACAGCTTCATCAGCTTTTTTCTTCTTCAAAATTTTACATCGTACCACATGTATAACAAAAGATTCTTGATCAATCTCCTCATTACAATATTTACATAATTTTTTATCTGTCGACCCTAAATTTATGTTATAAAGTTATTGCAATTATTAATAGGGTTGGGATATAGTTTAGTCGAGAGCCCGCTCCAAACCGGTTCGAAACATATGTCATTCGATTCGTCTCGGCGAGCTGAGTCGAATGGTACCACTCCCTAAGTGCAGAAATGCCTGTGGACCGAGATATAGGTCCCTGAAATTTGAAATACCATAGGGGGAGTAAGCTGATTTTGGGTTGAAAAATTCGATTTTTTGTATGATAGCTCATTCGAAAGAGCTCCTCGAGCTGAGTCGAATGACACCAAAATCAGCTCTAGGTCTCAACTTTGAGCCGAGATAAAGAGGCTCAAAATGGTTCAAAACACAGGGCGATTTTAGGAGTCAAAAATTTCAATAAACAAATAATAGCTCATTCGAAAGAGCTCGACGAGATGAGTTAAATGCCACCAAAATCAGCTCGATCCGATGATTATGAACAAAATTATGAACAACTTTATTTTCGCTCGAATAACTGTTTTGGTGTTGCCACGGAGGGTAGGTCGGCATTCAAGGCTGAGAATCAGTAAAAAGGAATAGGATTAAGTTACGAGCACAGAACCCAGCGACCGTTGACTCCCCGCGAGGCGCGTGCCGCAAAACCCCGCGCGGGGTTTTGCGCAAGCGCCTCTCCGACGCCCATAGGTTTAGGTTGACCATTTTGAGCCTCTTTATCTTGGCTCAAAGTTGAGACCTAGAGCTGATTTTGGTGTCATTCGACTCAGCTCGAAGAGCTCTTTCGAATGAGCTATCATACAAAAAATCGAATTTTTCAACCCAAAATTCAGCTTACTCCCCCCTATGGTTTTTCAAATTTCAGGGACCTATATCTCGGTCCACAGGCATTTTCGCACTTAAAGAGTGGTACCATTCGACTAAGCTCGCCGAGACGAATCGAATGACATATGTTTCGACCCGGTTTGGAGCGGGCCCTCGACTAAGCTACAGCCTAGGGTTGTCCAAAATATACATAGCAGTTGGTTAATCACTTTCCATTTCATTTCAACAAGAGGAAATTAAACTAACAACATTACAGTTTTTGGAAAATCCTAGTTAATAAAATCTAACAAAAAAACAAATACTTATTTTTAAATAGTAATCAAAATTACTTTGTTTCCCTTTATTTGGAATTAAATAAAAAATTACCCGGAAAATCTGAACTCGGTTGAGAAAACGTAGTTTTAAGTTTGTCAAATAATTGTGAAATATCATTGTCGGAACTTATATGCAAAGTAAAGAATCCAATCTAAATATAGAATTGTGTAGAGACTTTCAAGACGCTTGGTCTTGAGTATTGACTCAAGACTTTTGTTGGGTTTTTTCTGCCTTGGTATCTAAAATGCCCGTGTGGTTCGGACCAAAATATAAGAAATAACTAAGACGAACCAAAAGTCCGTATACTATGCAATTTTTGTTATTAGATTTAAAAAATTTAAGATTCTTCTTAAAATTTAACAAAAATTTTGGTACCTTATCAAGAAATTCTTTTGTAGCCTTATTTTTCGAAACCGTCACTAACAGCTGATTCTCAAAGTTTTTCACTATTTTACGAAGTTCAGAAAGATAATTTCCAACAATATAAAATACTGAAAAAAAATTTAATAATTAAAAAATTTTTTGAATACCATTCTCTTGCTTAACATATTCAGTCATATCATATAATTTCAAAGCTTTAAAAACATCAATAACTGATTTGTTGGAGATTATGACATTTAAATGTCCTCTAAAAATTTAGAAATTATAATTAAAATTTTTTTAGGGATTTTATATCCGTTGTATTAAATTGGAATTTTAAAATATTTTAATTATATCACTCAAATTAGGCTCCCAAAAAACCGTCTATTTTAAAGGCTTTTGTCTCCCCCTTTTATGTAGTTTTAATTATTAAATGTAAACAAACCTATCAGACAAAAGCTTCATACATTCTTTATACGAAGCAGCGTCAATTTGCAAATTGTCCTTAAATTTACTAGGTAAATATAAAAATAACTAAAAATCATTACAAATTCCCAAATCAGAACCCATTTATTCTCAACCAATTGAACTTGGAGTGCTTGAACTTTTTCAGGTACACTTGTATTGTCAGACGAATAAAATTGAGGAGGAGCTGCAAATTCATTCATCAAATTAATCATATCAATATTTGATTCAATAAAACGGACAACAAATCCATGCTAAATATAAAAGAATTGTATTAGATACGTAGACACGAAAAATTTGGGGCAATCATGCTCAGCATCGAATTTTTAAATTTTAATTATTTGCGCCGCGAAAGAAAATTTAGGGAATTTTGGAAGTAGTCCAAACAATTCACTTTTTTGCTGTATCCCCTCACAAAATTTTTTCAGTTTCCCAATTTCCGGGGGGGGGGGGGAGGAGAGGGGTATTTTAAAATTTTTTAAATCTAAATTAGAATTTTAACTAAAATTTTGACCTTAACAAGAAATTCTTTTGTATCCATATTTTTCGAAATTGTCACTAACTGTTGTTTGTCAAAGTTGTTCAATATTTTAGCAAATTCAACATGATAATTTTTGATGAAAGCAAATACTGAAAAAAAATTAAATAATCAAAAATTAATTTTGAATACCATTTTCTTGTTTAACATATTCACTCAAATTATACGATTTCAAAGCTTCCAAAATCTCCTCAATTGATTTATTGGAGATTATAACATTTAAATGGCCTCTGAAAATGTAAAAATTCTTTTTTAAAAATTTTATATCTCATTATGTCAAATTGGAATGCTAAAATCAGACCAAAAATTCAATGTCAAAAAATTTGTCTATTTAAAGGAACAGGACATTTTCCCCAAAAAATACGTGATGGGTTGATGAATGATACCCTTAAAACAACCAAAAGAAATTATCTGCTTTCTAGAAGTTCGCAAGGGGAGGATGTATTAAAGGAATGATGTTTAACGATGTTTTACACATTAAATTTAATGATTAAAAACAAACAAACCGATTTTTAACCAATTTCATACATTCTTTATACGAAGCAGCATCATCAGAACTCATCAAATTGTCCTTAAATTTGCAGGTAAATACAAAAAGTAACAAAAATTTTTACCAATTCCCAAACAACAATACGCTTATCTTCCTTCCCTCGATCCTGTGTTGGTGGAACATTTCCAAAAATTGTCAGCTGACGAGAATCTTTGACGCCGAACAACTCGTATGCTAAAAATTTAACGATTTTTAATTAGTAGAAAAGCTCATTCTAACCACAAGCACGAATTTCATCAAGCATTCCTTTCGTTATGTTGTTTTTTTTAATTGATTGCTTCATTTGATTCCCTTCATCGGCTAACTTATTTCCAGATTCAACTAATTTGTTCCCTTCTTCAACTAACTTCAAGCCTTTACTTATCATATCCTTCCCTTCTTCATTCTTCTTCTCCCCTTCTTGAACCATATTCATCCCCTTGTCAATTTTCGTATCCGCTTCTTTGTCTGAAGAACCTTCGTCCAAATGCTTAGATAATGCTTCTAATAATGATAAAAATAGGGAACGTTGTCTGTCGAGCTAAATTAAAAAATATTTTTTCAAATTTTTGAGTTTATTCTCGAAAAAA